GTAATCGATTGTATTCTGCTCTAAAAGTGTCACCATTAAAACCTAGTTTTTTGTGCAGGCGTGATTTTCTCTTTATATTTTTTATAATTTCAGAGGAATACCAAACTGGAAACTGACGTTTGCGGTAAACAGAAGGTGGAACGTGTTGGTCAAATATAGAGTAGAGTGTCTCATAAAATTTGTCACAAGCTTCATCTACTAAAAGGGAATTTTCTATTACTGACCAATTAGTGTTAAACAAGTCTTGATATATTAGATTAAAGTTAGCTTTCCTGAAGTTGTATTTTTGTTGATGCGTGTTAATTAAGGTATTATATTTAGGTAAATTAATTTCTATTGAGACTTCGAGACTAGGATGGTGCGTATCCTCCCGTACGAAAGGCATACATTCTTTTGATATTTTGCAGGTTAGATTGGAGATTACAAAATCGAGAATATGATTGTTAATATTAGTTAAGTGATTCTGTTGATTAAAGTCAAATAGATTACAAAACATATCAAAAGAGTGTACTATATTATTAGAAAGGTTAGAATGGTTCAACTTACCAGTAGCATCATAGGCCTGTGGCAAATTAAAGTCACCAGTAATAACAACTTTGCCATGATGTAAGTAATGTAGTGACTCAAAAGTATCAAATAGATAAGGTCACTGTTAGTTTAATTGCATTCCTATTTGTTATTTTTAAACATTAATAAATCAACACGTAATGAAGCAAATTTCAAAATTTTTTGCACGGTTGAACAGAGAATAAAACCCCCTTTTAAATGAGTTATCACTCACCACCCCATGCCATTTAAATTTTTCGAAAGGGTTGCTCTCCTCCAGTAAGGGATGAAATTAAGGGTAAAATATTCATACAAAAATGTACATTGTAGAAATCAAAAATCGACGTATCTCGGCGATTTTCCTAACGAGACTCCAGTAACGAGTTAGTTAGGGGGGTAAGACTTATGATGCTCACTGTATATGTAAGGGGGTTTTCCGATGGTCTGAGGCGAAAAATGCGTTTGAAAGTTCAAATATACTGCACTTTTTTTTCCAGTATTAAAAATCATTCTATTAGTGAGAGATATAGTGAATATATGAAGTTAAGGAAAAACAAAAAGTCTGGCTAATCTGTGAGTATAGTTAATATGTCTGGCAGGTGAAAAATTGTAAAAAAAAATATCAAAGCCATTGATCTTATTTTCGCAGTCCTAAAAATTTGTTATATGATAGTTTATATTATAATTACAGCCCCAAAGCCTTGCCAGACTCCAATGCTCGTCAGGCGCGCTAAATTCGGCATGTTCAATTATACAGGTGATTGTTGTCATCTCTACATGTTTTTACTTTTCATAATTTATTGCTATACATTGGACATAAATGTTTATTCTGGGTGAAATTTCCAATTCCACAAATCACATTCATTTTATTGGCTGCAAAATAAACATAAGATTTTAACCTTAATGTTCTTATCCTGAAAATCCCACAATATAAAAAAATTATTAATTTTTTTCGACTTTTATATGCACTCAACAAAACTATACAAACTATAAGATGTATAGATTTAAAATATCGCGAATATTACCAAATCAACGAAATATGAAATTCTGTAATCTAAGGCATAGAAGAAGGATAGGTTAGGTTAATTACCTTCAAATTCCAAAGTCTCCGACGAAATACGAACTGACACGATACTAAACGAAGAATCGGCTGGAACATTATGAATTCTGATTGGCTGGGCATGTTTGTATGTATGCTGACAATGACGCATAGAAAAGTGCTTATACTGTATATAGTCACGTAGTAATTGAGAAAGATAGGAATATAAAGGATCATAGCCCTGGGGCTCGATTCTCGAGTTCATTGGAAAATTTTCCCATTGGAAAAGATTTCACTACTTATATTCCCATGGTAATAGGTTATGCAATTCTAGAACGTGTCGGAATAGACATTCCCATGGAAATAGTAGTTTCACGTATGTCTGATATTAAGTCCACGAATATTTCGAAACAACCAATAACATTAAAGATATTTTCAAATTTACTGTTGGCATTATCGGTATTTGTTGTGGTTTGTGAGTAACCTGTTACCTGCCGAGCCCCGCTCCGGAGCAGGTGTCGTGCCGTGTCGAGCAATCGCTAGCATGACCGAGGAACAAGGAAAAATATTCGATTGTATAATTAAAACTTGTTGAATTATTAGCTTTTCTTTTTACATGTTGAAAAAAGAAAAAGTAGCTTTTGTACGGAAGAGCAACGAAAGTTTCGAGAAACTAAGAAATTCCTTCGTTAACGGAAATAATAAAATTTTCTAAAGGGTTGCTTCATTATTCAAATTACTACAATTTCTCAATTTGTATTATTGACCAGTCCCTCAGCAGCTCCCACAATTGCTAACTGATTTAAGAAAATCAGTTCATCCAGTTTCTTAGTGAAAGAAAAGTAAAAATAATATACCTACATAAATAAAATAATATCAATCAACTTAAATAATAAGTACAAACAAGTAAAAATCTATAAATACGCCAAAAAAATGTTTTAACTACAATTTCACCAAAAATCCAAGATATCTGAAAATCTTTGGTTATGTGTTAGTCCTTCGTCAAATTTTCGACTTTAATGCGCAAACTCTAGTACAATTCCCATTGGAAAACACAATTTCCAATGCTCGTAAGTAGGGGAATATTTTCCCATACTTCTCATTGGAAAATATTCCACCGCTTGTGTTGAGAATACGAAAACTAAATTCCCATGGGAAAATTTTATTTTCCCATGGGAATAAAACTCGAGAATTGAGTCCCATGTAGCTGTTCTCTGGTACTCGCATTCCAGCGTCGTTACCTAAATACGCACCTGCCTCTTCCTCTCCTCATTCAACTATCTTACTTGTTAGTCTGGAGGTGCTTTCGTAATTGTAAATGACAGCCAGACGTGTATTTTCTATGAAATTATAGTATTATTTATCATGTGACAAATTTTTAAATCCTGGAAAATAAGAGCAAAAATTTTGTAATTTGGCAGTTTTCAAGATGCCGCCAGACTTATTTAGCAATTTCGTAAATCAGTCAGACTTACTTTTGACTATAGTTTATGACAGTATCAAATGATACGTTAAATTTGAAGCATGGGAAAATAAGGGTTACGGATTTCAAAAATCGGTCAAATTTTTGGATCCGAAAAATTTCAGCCAGACTAACTTTCCTCCTGTTAGGATATGCCAGACTATTATTTCCATTAATAAAATGATTCACTTTAATAAATGTCAAATATTTATGACTGGGAAAATAAGTGTACTAGTCTTTTTTTTTTCCAAAAATTTTAGCCACACTCACAAATTGTCGTTTTGTGTCACCATCCGAACAAATAATGTCACCTTCACCGAATGCAAAAATATGTATAAAAAAATTTACTGCCTCCTGGACTATCTGTATAGTATAGTCCAATATAATCCTGCAAAATTCTACAAAATATTTGTATATAGTTTCCTATTATTTTACTAGAAAAATATACGTCTTCCTTTAATGAATGAATACATGACACAATAGTATTTTTATTATTATACATATATTATGATGACTAATAAACATATTGTTTTCAATTGAAAGTTTACCATGCCAGTATAATGAAAAATTTTCACATCGTGCTAAAAATAGTAATTCCATTTCATTCTACCACACATCGTGAATTTTTTTCCGAATGTATTATTTAGAGATAATTTTTGAACATTATTCATGTAGTCATGAAATTAATGACATATTTTTGCTTTTATAATTCGTGTACATTTTTTAAATCTAAAATGTAGCTATTTCACGATTTTTTTGAGATCTAGACAGATGGAGAGGCGAGATTGTATAAAAACATTGCCTTTACAGAGAGCTTAGATAGTTTTAAAATGTTGGTTTTTAGTATAATAGGTTATTTTCCTTTGTTGTTGAAAAATGCCCTACCTTTGAACTGAATGAAGTTAAAAATAGAATAATTTAATTAATAGTGTAAACAGTTCAGTAATATAAAGGCGAATCATCAAAATTGCAAGTAATTTTTTCATTACTTTTTTTTATAAAAAATTAACAAGTAGGTATACAATGCGAGATTAAAAAATATTTGAGCTAAGAAGGGGCAATTTCAAAATTGTTATGTTATCATTATCCTTTATTTAATTTTTATACCTCACCAATCTCACTAAAAATCTTTCTACTCTCTGACATTTGTCCTAGGTTATATACAAACCCTGTAAATTAAATAAATGACAATATTTCGATTGTAACAGCTGCAGATGCTCGTCGTACAACTATAGTGATATTAGCAATTATGCGTTTTCCTTTTAACTATAGGGTTCAGTTTAAATTATGAAATTCATTAATTGCAATTTTAAAAATTATGTTTTTAACATGTAGGTGGTTGATACATGCTTTAATTCATATAAAAATATGTTCAAAAATTTATCTGCAAATATCAGTAAAAAATGTATTGCCAAAACGTTGAAATTTAAATTTGAATATAATTTTTTTAGGATGTTTACACAGTTTTGGCATTATTTTCTTTGGGATTACATAAATTAAATGTATCTGCATAAAAATAAATATTTCTGTTATATTTAGTGACATACCGAGCTATGTGGTGGTCGATAATAATAAATTGTGTGGATATTCATAGCATTAATTAAACGACGCTAGGTTCTTAAAAATTTGGTTACTAGTCATGCAATAATAAAATATGCTTTATCAAAAATCACATATAAACTGGTTAAAAGATTGAGCTGAATGAATTTCACGAAAACGTTTGTGGTTGCATAATATCAATTGGTTTAGATACCCAAGAAGTATTTTAGAAATTTTTAGAGCACACTGTACAACTATTCAGATAAATTATTGTTTTTTTTATTACTACAGTGTAACGCTGAACTGCGAAACTCTCACAATATTTCAATCAAACAAGCTAAGGCTGTTCTCATTTAGCTTTATGTTTTATTCAGAATACAGTAATACGTCATTTGTGTTTATTTTGATTTTCAGATACAGAAAATGGCACTTCTAACCTAGTTAGGATAAGAAAGTCGGCCTTGGGGAAGTCGGCTCCATCATTGTCCTTAAACATGGTAAATATTTAACTCATTTTTATGCTAATCAATACCGCAACTTGCATGTCAAAAGATCGCTGTAATTCAAAGATAAAACCGTTTCTATAATTGATTGATTTGATTAAACAAGCAAATGCAAATAGCCATCATTTTTACAACAGAAGCTTCCTTAATGATCCTTGACTGTATCAAAAGTAAGTAACTGATTCTGAAACGTCTGATAATTTAGCGAATTCATAAAATTATTAGTGTTTCTAAAAACTAATATAAATATTTTTGAATTACAGTTTTCAACTCAGAACCTCACTTTATTATTACATTATTTTTTAATTATTTACCAAAATTAATTTTGAAAAAATAGAGTCACAAGTAATTCAAAAATGCGCCTAGCTAAATATTTTTTAAAAAATTAGAGATAATATAATACAAAACTAAATCGCTGCTTGAAAGGTACCTTTACAATTTTCCTACTTGATACACATGAGAAATATAGGACCGCGAAAGTTTACCTACAAAAGTATCCCATTTAAATATCAAGTAGCGATTTAATTCCCACTGTTGTTTTCCTAAAGAAAAGATCGTTTAAGTATTGCTACAACACTACAAAATCATCTACCACTCGAACCAAAACACAAAGCAGACGTAAAAGTCTTTACCAACATCACTTTCATGCCAGAGGACCACCTAAAGCAGTCATACTCAACTTTTTTTCCTTTGGGCCACATTCGTATGTGCGCTATGTTACACGGGCCGCAATATTTGTGGATGATGACTTTTTTTAGGCCATCTATCTAAAATTAGTTAGTGGTGGGGACCTCTAATAAATAAAAAACAAAACATAAATATATCCCGTTGGGTTACTGCAAAAACAAGATAACTCACATTTTTAGATTTTCTATTCAAAAGTTTAAAATTGAATAAAAATCAGTAAAAGCTTGAAACTTTATTAACCTCAATGAAGAAGGCATTGAAAAGATTGTTCACAAAGTATAAACTATGAATTTATCAATAATTGGTAAAAAAGAAAAAACGGCACTTAGCTTATTTTAGCTCTACATACAAATCATAATTCAATGTATGCGTCACTCTCTTCTATCGAAGATTCAGGTACGGGGTCTTTAACATTATTAGATACATGTAGATTGTGATAATAATGGTGAGATTCATCAGGTGCAACAACTGATTTTGCAAAATCTTTCTTCTTGAATTTTTTTTGTAAGTATTTTCAAAACTTTGTTTCATCCTTTAATGCAATAAATACTGTGCGAGTTTGTCATCTAAAGCCGAATGCCGCCCTCGCCCATTGATAAATCTATTTTTCTGATGGAATGTACTTAAGATAGCTAAATCTTTCGATAGTTGTTTATTAGAAAGTGTTGCTAAAATTAAAATTCGTCTGTTACCACTAATGAAAATAGAAATAGAATTTATTCATCTTTAAGAATTATACACTATACAAAGACACTAGGTAAATAATGTAAAATCCTATCAGACTAATCAAAAAAGTGTTAAGTAAAATACATTAAAAAAATAAAATATATATGTATAATAGACAATTCATGTTAAGATTAGTTTAAAAGTTCAAAAAATCTTCTATACTATAAAATACATTATTTACAAGAAAATCATTAAGATGTTTTCTTAAATCATTACGACTAATTTGATGATAACCTGTAGTATCTTCTAATATGTTACTGAACTTATTGTAACACTTAATCCCAATATCTTTTGGTGACTGCTGGCTTATTTGTAGTCTTGAAAACCGTTGATGGATGTTACATTAGGCAATCACTCGTTACAGCTTGACCAATAACCCATTACATCTAGACCAATCACTCGTTCACCACAGAAATTCGAACATCACGTGTTATTATCTAGTTTGCTGAAGGTTAGCTGTATCGCGGAAAGAAAGGGTGACGTAATCATCTTGTGGATTTCGGAACAGAGACGGCTCTAGTCATAACAAAACAAATGGCGTGGGCACAATGTTGCAGTATTTCAACACACATTCAACAAAAATAAGTAGCAGTAAACCACTCCCGAAATACTGGTATGTTTTCACTAGAAATCACTACAAATTTTCTCGAAAATTCCAAAATCATCATCGAAAATCATGGTTGAAATCATCGCCGAAATCAATTCGTCGCTCAAAACCTTAAATGCCAAGAAAAAAGATCATTGTATAAAATTAAGGTAAATTTTCAGTGAAATCTCCGAAATCACATAAAAAGTTATGTTATTTCCGAAATACAGGTACGTTTTGACCTTAGTGGTTTCCCCTCGGTTCTGGCCTTTATCTTGTTTTGGCAGAAACACTATTAGGAATCGGACTAAATGTATTTATATGCCTATTATCTGGTTTTGGTAGACACACTTAGCAATTAAATACAATGTTATGTTTTAATATAAATGCCATTCCATCTTGTTTGTGCATATTGTTAATGTATTAATATGGAGTTAGTTTTTATTGGCTATCTGTTTATCATGAATATAGAATGTAGAAAGTGTACCTACTTAACTCGAATATTTCAAAAGTAGAGCTATCTTGTTTTTGCAGTAACCGCAAAAAATTCCAAACGTTTATTTAAAAATTAGCGTGCTATTTAGCGATGCTACCAATAATACTGGTTCGGGCCGCAAAAAAAGCTTGGAGGGCCGCATGCGGCCCGCGGGCCCCATGTTGAGTATGGCTGACCTAAAGTATCCCTTTTAATCTCAAAATCGTAGAGCAATATGGTTATTTGCTGAAAAACTTGAAGCATTAGAACAACATGCTGTTTTTACTAATGGATTTGGAGGTCTTTGTGAGGGGTCTTTGACAACATAGATGTATATAACGGAAGTTTTAGAATGAAATGTACAAATTGCCAATATGATGGGTTCAGTATTCATTCTGCAACAGGAATAGTGGAAAATTTCCTCACTGAGTCCTGTGAATTTGATTTTACAAAACCGACCAGTCGGTAATATACGTACTTTCACACTGTTTTGTTTTGTTTACATTCCATTATTAACAATCAATATTATCATCTGTTGCTTATTAATCAGTAAAACGTAATATAATTGTGTACACACCGAATCTGTTACAAGTTAATATTTATAAACACTAAGTAACAAAAACGTTCAATTTATGGAAATAAAAAACCTCATTTGCATTACGAACAATATTGTATAGGTCTAAACGATTCGTTGATAAATATTTAAGCTGATAAAAAATTCAACCAAGTTGAAACTGAAACCAAATTTAATTATTATTTATCAATTCAGTTTATAATTAAAAAAAATAGGTTGGTTACTGTTAAAAGGCAATTATTGAATCATCTAGTTACAGAACATTTTATCACAAACGTAAACGATTTGGAATATTGTGAACGAATCAAAACAGGAAGATAATACTGTCGCGGGACCAGTCCAATCCTGCTTTATGTTTTAGTTATCGTTGAAGAAATTCCTTTACTCTCTCTTTCCTGATTGTAATTGGGTGATCATTAACGTTTATGAGACGTATTGGAATTTCTTTAGCAGACTTGACAAACCCCTTTCCGATCAGATTTCCTCGTCCAACCTTATATCATCGTGATTCCAAGGTTCCATCATGATAGGTGTTCCTTCTTCCATAGTTTCTTGCAGTCGTGCTACTGTAATGGTTTCACTTCTACCAGGTACCTATCTTCAGCTACTGGCACGGTACTCATATGACTGAAGGAATACCTCTTCTGAACCAGCTCTGTTTTTCAAATCTAACTGGAAACGATTACATCCATTCCTAGTGTAACATCTTCGATAACAGCGACAATAACATGAGTGAACTTATCTGTACCAATTCCTAATTGAACCTGGATTTCCCCATGGATGTTGGCACTTTCAACTATGGCAGTCCGCAGTCGCAACCTTGTTGGTAGAAGTATATTGCGGATATTTATAGTTGTTGGCCAGTTCCTGGTTGCTCCAACATCTACCAACAGTGTATACTTTCTACCATTCACTATCATCGCGACATGTCAAAGAGGCTATCAATATGGAAAGGTTCCGGATCTAAGCTGCCCCCCTAGGTCGACCCGCTTTAGTTTTCCTGCTGCGTGGTTTCTTGGATTTCTAGTGACCCGATGCCGTTTGCACGAACTGCGTACATGCCTTAGTTCACCGCAATTCCAGCACCTGATAGTCTTCGTCTTTATCTTCTTGCCATTAATGCTCTTCGTTATGTTAACCAATTGGTCGAGTTTATCTTCCTCTTTTATGTCCTCACTTTACTTTATCCATCAGATGCCTGCGTAGCTGCCTCATACTTTGTTAGGGGATAAACAGAGTGGTTTTTTGCATTTCATAGTTACGGAGTCCATCAACAAACGTTTGGATAACCAAATTCCATCATATTTTCTGAAGCTGATGAGTAGGCAAATCGTACCAACCTGGCAATATCTAGTATTCTTGAAGAGTCTCGTTTCTGTTTGCGATTATTTAACTGTGATTGATACAAATGCCCCAAATAAATGTTCGTGGCCATATCGTTTGTTTAAGTTGTTCAAAATAATCCGTCTCTTCCACAGGAATAGTCTGAAGAACATCTAAAGCATCTCCTCGAAGGGCGATTGTATAATTTGAAGTACTTAGGTATTATATTTTATTTATAACTAAGCCCTTTTTTGGAATTAATAAAACAAATTAGTTTCTTTTTAATTCATAAAAATAAAAAAAAAATATAAAAATGTGCCCGGTACGTAGTTCGAAAACTATTTGAGGAGAACATGTCTCGTCTAAATTGAATTTAGACATATTATAGGTATCTGTCTTGCGTTAGTTAAAGGTCAAACGTTTTGCCAAAATAAATACCACACTCTAAATTAATGTTTGAAAAAGCGCTATCTACTAGAACCCGAGATTCTACTTTTTTGCTGCTAAGTGGGTATACATTTTTTTTTGCTTTATTGGAATATAGAAAAATCAGATCAGTCACTCAATTTCAATGTTAAACTTCAAATATCACGTAAGTTGCGAAAAAAATTATATACTGGTGCTTCGATAACAAAAATAAAATTTGTTAATAAATAAAGAAGAAAAATAACATGTATTGGGTATAAATTATAAGAATTAGACTTAAAAGGGACGTAGTAATTCCCTTATCAAACTTTCCTTGTTTAACTATAAACAGAGTGGGAGAGGGGTAAACACTGGTACTGATTAGTCAAACTTGTGGATTTTTTTAAATACACACGGGCGTGCTGAGGAACATTTTAGGGTATTCTATATGATCCGAGATTGTGAGCCAAAAAGTCAGTTAACATATTACGCGTATATTTTGCAAATAAGGGGCGATTCCACCGTTGTGCTAAACGAAGTTTAAATTACTAAACGAAGATTAAAATGACATTTTTACATTTACAATGTCATTTTAATGTTCAATTCACACAACGGTGGAATCGGCCCTAAGTTGATTACGTTCATATTTTTTTCATTATGAATCATGGGACTACCACTGTTTTCTTTTGGTGCATCATCTTTCGTCGGAAGGTTAGCAAACGTTTGTGAATGCTTGTGATGAGTATCTCCACTAAAAAACAATGTGAGTTTGTAAATATTTACAAACCTATTGCGTTTTTGACGATTATATGTAACTTTAGTCGCCTTTTGTGCAATAATATACCTAGCTCAAATCTTTCTTCGTTTTTATTTTTATTAGAATATACAAATTAATTTTTAAAATGTAGTTTTCGTGTTTATAAAAGGTTTATTGTTTTTTTAATTATCGTTAATTTATTTGTCATATTTTAGTTAGTTTGGCATTTGTAGCTGAAACTTGTATTTATACCTTAGATATTTTAAATTATACTCGGACTATGAAAAACCGATAGCATAAGTTTTTGCAATTAATTGGAACCGTAATTTTGTCAGATTCAAAATGTAGATTTCAAAAGTTAGCTATATATTTATTTATAGTATTCAATTCAAGAATGTTATCAAACATTTATAACAATCTCAATCATTGTTGAATAGGTAATTATAATAAAACATTTAAGAGTTTGGAAAGTCACCTTTATAAACCAAGTAAGCATAGGTACTTATCTTTGTGACGAAAACTATACCAGTATTCGATAAAAGTGTAAAAATTAAATAATATTTCATCATATTTTCTGTAACTGATACATCTAGTTTTATAATAATTAAATGAAACGATGTACTAAATGTTCTGTTTTGATAACAGTAATACTTTTTTAAAAGGAAAGACTTGTATTTCGTGCAAAACTTTTTAATTAATAAATGCAAAGCGCTTTCGGCATTTTGCCATCATCGGTGCTTATCTACAAAAATTGTGGATGTAAACTTACAATTTAAAAAATATAAAATCTGAGTAAGACTTTTAAGTCAAAAGTTAAAATTATATATATAAGGTTATTTTGAACAAATTAACAGTTAAAAGATAACAAACAGAGTGACATAACCCAGTGTTGGGAATAGTGAGTGTGGGATAAGCCCTTAAAAATCATATCTGATCTCCAGAAGCAAGTTAGCTTGTGTGGAACTAAGGAATTATAGTGAAGGTGGTATAAGTCTTTCCTTTTGAATCTAAACTACGTGCACACAGCTGTCAACCTTTTTTGGTTATTTTAATACTTTTTTAATTCAACAGTTTATTTTTATTTCCAAAATTTCAGAAGGAGTCATGTCCTGTAAACAGGAGAAATAGTCGGTCAGCTGCAATTCATAGATTAAGTTTCGTCACGAATACAAGTCCTATACTACCAAGATCTCATTCGCCTGTATGTGGTAGTCCACTCGATAGTCCTAGAACACACACAAGTTTAAACAACTTCACATTTGCACCCATCAAAAGGTAAGTCTATATTATTACCACACCAATAATATTTTACTTCAACGCATGTGAACGTCAATTTAGTGATGCATCCTTCAACAGAATATTTCTTATAGAATTGTTGCTGGTTACCGAGGAGATGGAAGAAGATGGTCAGTTGCCTCCCTACCATCGTCTGGATATGGAACTACTCCGGGAAGCTCTAATCTATCTGTAAGAAAATCACTACCACTGAATTATTTGAGTTTGGATTTATTTTATTTTTTTTTTTTAGTCAAAATGTTCTAGTCAAGAAAGGTTGCATCAGTTACCCCATATTCCTACCTCCGAAGATATTCGAATATTGACTCACCACTTTTCAAGCAACGAAAGCAATGCATCTGGTGCTAGTGGTGAAGAAAATTCTTCCACAAGCCATCGGTCTCCACTCCACAGACCTAGATCTCGGAGCTTAAGGTAAATACAAAGTTGATTTGATAAAAATATGAAATTTTAAACCAATCCTTCGAGTTGTTGAAAAAAACTTCTTGGTCGCTCATTTATGACTAATTCGGAGTCGATGACCTAGATTTTTGTATATGACCTAGCTAACTTCAGTGACATACTCCTTTTTAACATTAATTTAAAAATTAATTACCTACTTCATTAATCATATATTTATATTTTTTCAAAATGATATTTTTGCACATTTTGGGAGATTATAAAGATTAATCTTCTGTCACATAGCATGTAGCGCTTTTGAAAATTTTCTGCCAACAATGCAATTTCTTATTTTAGTAGTCCAAGTAGATCTCCAGTAATAGACAACGAAATTTGTATGATGAACGTTTTGTACAAGGAACGCTTCCCGAAAGCCACCCAACAAATGGAGGAAAGATTGACGAACTTCATAGAAGAGAACAAGACTTTGGATTTCGGAAAAGATTGTGATTATTTACCCATAGTTCGATTCGTCCATCATCAGGTACTAGAAATAGCAAGAGATTGTTTACACAAGTCGCAAAGCAAGCTTATTACCAGTCAGTATTTTCATGAGATGTCGGAAAATTTAGAAAGATTGTTAACAGAAGTAAGTACAACTGCTAAAAATTGTTTTTCCACTACTTTAATAAACGCTATTATCTAAAATCTAGACTATCTAGAAGTTTAATTGTGAATATTGGTATATCTCGAGGTTCTTTATTATTATTAATCCAATAAATTTGCTCATTTTTTGCCAGTACTACTTTTTGCCAATGACCTTCAGATCTTATTTCTTATTCCAGACTAAGGAAAAATCCGAAGACGCAGCTAATTTAATGATGAGCTTCATCAAAAAACTACTTTTAATAATCTCCCGACCCGCTCGTCTATTAGAATGCCTAGAATTTGATCCAGAGGAATTTTACCATTTCCTAGAAGCGGCGGAAGGTCAAGTAAAGGGCGTACAAGGCATAAAAGCCGACATACCTCAATACATTATTCAGAAACTCGGTTTAAACAGAGATCCGATAGCAGAGCTCCAGCAGGAGTTAAGAGACTGCACTTGGTCAAACGAAAACAAGCCTATGGTTCTGAACGCGACTCCAACGATGAGAAAAACTTTGTCGAATCCTAACGAACACGATTTCGAAGTTGTTAAACTGATTTCAAACGGAGCGTACGGTGCTGTTTACTTAGTCAAACACAAGCATACACGTTTGAGATTCGCCATGAAAAAGATAAACAAGAATAACTTAATGTTACGCAACCAAGTTGAACAAGTTTTTGCCGAAAGGGATATACTGAGTTTTGCTGATAATCCGTTCGTCGTCAGTATGTATTGCAGTTTTGAAACCAAGAAACATTTGTGTTTAGTGATGGAATATGTTGAGGGCGGCGATTGTGCAAGCTTATTGAAAAATATTGGACCACTGCCTGCCGATATGGCAAGATTTTATTTTGCTGAGACTGTCTTAGCCGTGGAGTACTTACATTCTTATGGGATTGTGCATAGGGATTTAAAGCCAGATAAGTATGTTTACTTAGATATGAAGAGTGTCACATTTTTGTAATGTTTGCTTATTTTTAGCCTTTTAATAACAGCGTTGGGTCATATTAAATTGACAGATTTTGGTCTTAGTAAAGTTGGATTAATGTCATGTAAGTATGTTTTGTAAATACACCCGAAATATTGTACATATACTATATACTGCGGGACAAGGTTCAGTTCAGTATTGATCTTGTGGGGCGCTGATTTGCCGCTTCCATCGGAATTCTGGGTGACGATAGACTGAGAAGATAGTACCGTACGTGCTTCGTTTCGTAAAATAGTAACTAAAAAATTATATACACGATACTAATTCTCTAGCCCTATTCTATATAAAACTGTTTAGTCCTTTGGAAAATGCGTTCTTATAAGAATTTACTTCCCGCATAAGCTGTATTTTACATTTTGATCTATTTGATTGTTAAAAATGGATGGTAAGTAAATAGAATCGATTGAAAAATTCTACGTAAAAATCGACTAAAAAAAACCTATTGTAAAAAGTATTAATAGTAAAAAAGAATCAAATATAAAAAGAATCGATTTTAAAAGTATAGAATGTAAAAAATCGATAGTAAAATAATTGTTTAGATGAAGTTAGGCTGGACTCGAAAGGAAAAAAAAAACGTTTAAAAAATTGAAGACCAGTGTTACTTACCAACAATTTTATATACATTAAAAAAAAATAAATAAAAATAAGACTTAAATCGCTTTTAAACAAAAATAACATAATTTCAAAATAGTAATTTGGTGACAAAGTAACAAATCAAAGGACCAGAGTAAGCCATCAATAGCTGTATTACTGGATCTTACTAAGGGATTTAATACTGTTGACCATTATTAGCAATTTTTGAAAGCATTGACAGATTTAGGAGTAAGAGGTAGTTCGTTTGAGCTGATTGATAGTTATTGGTTGAATAGAAAGCAATGCTTCCAACTTTCAAATAGAAGAACACAGGAGCAGCCTAAAGGGTGTAAAATGTGGAACACATCAAGGCACAGTACTTGGCCCAATTTTATTTAATACATAATATATTAATGATTTATTATCATTGAATTATCATGAATCGATGACACCGTTTTTTTCTATTCAGCAGATATGTGGAAAGACTTGAGGGTCTAGTTGAGGATGATTTCATCCTTTTTAATTGGTTTGATTATAGGCTCTTTACTGTTAAATATAGTAAAATATTTTTGTGTCTAACAAGTTACGAAAGCAATCTCTCTAATTACAATAGCCAAAAAATTGCAATTGGAAAAAAATTAAGTACTTGTGTATTATAATTGATTGTCACCTAAAGGACATCATCACATAAATAAGGTAGTTTATAAATTAAGATAATTTCTATACGAATTTAAATATCTTAGAAATATCCTATATTTACCTTACCTAAAAATGTATTATACATTGGTGGAATCAAGAATAAATTATGGAATGATTGGCTGGGATAGAGCATAACTAGAAAAATTTAGTTATCCATATCATAAATTAAAAATCACTGAAAAATATCCATACTACATGGTAATAAAATTTTACAACTACCTTTAAGAATATAAAATTGTTTCCTAAATTATAAATTTAAAAAAGAAATTATAATAATAATAATTATGAAATTAGAACCTTATTGGATTAACGAATATTTAGATTCAAATTTAAATTAAAAATTGTTTTGTTTTAGACACTATTTCATTCTGTGCTGTTAGTTATAAATAATATTTTGTATATGTCAACTTTCTTTGAAATAAACATTATTATCTAGAAAAAATGAAAATTTTACAAAAATTATTTACAAAAAAAATCGCACTAATCCCTCGGACCAAGAATTAAAAATATTAGATCATAAAAACACTGTTTTTTTTTCTTAAAGTTGCTAATTATTATTATAAAAACCCAAATAGCCTTAATATTGTTACGAAACAAGAAGAAAAACCAAATTTAAATATAATGACTTGGCAACTTGTAAAACAGCAAGACACAAATGGTTACTTCTTTTTAGCATGGAAAGTATTAAATTATTTACGTCTAAAAATTTTAAAATCATTATTATAACTTAAAACAAGAATAAAAAAATATTATTAGAAGAATAAAGAGTAAATATTAGAAACATAGATATTAATATTGATAGATACCTAAATAGGTTTGTTATATGTATTTGTTTATTTTATTCATTATAAAAAACAATACATTCAATAGTACTTGCCATAAGTCTATACATGCCTCGGATAGTTTGTTTCACCCTTCCAAGTATCCCTATTCCCCCCTCGAGGGATTCCAGCAGACTCCCCCCAATCAGGCTTGGGTCCAGCCACTGGCTTCTCTCAATCAGGCTTAGGGTCCAGTCTGCTTTCCCTTCTCTTGGGGTTCGCATGGCCTATTGTACATACATTTGGATGCCCTACTCCTTCCTATTCATCATACATTCATTCTACGTCCTTGATGGTTAACGGCTAGTCGGTTCAGTGGTCATCCATCCAAGACGTGACCAGAAAGTTTTATATAGTTTTATGCTTTGTAAAAAAAAAATATTATTAATGTTTTTATTAGATAGTTATACTTACATTACATCAATTTTTGTAAATTGTTCAAATAAATTGTTAATAAAAACTTTTAATCTGTGATTTTAGTGGCAACAAACTTATATGAAGGATATATGGATACGGACTCAAGAAAATTTTCAGATAAGCAAGTCTTTGGTACACCAGAATACATTGCTCCTGAAGTAATCTTACGTCAAGGTTATGGAAAGCCTGTGGATTGGTGGTCCATGGGAATCATCCTCTACGAATTTCTTATTGGCTGTGTTCCATTTTTCGGTGATACCCCTGAAGAACTGTTTGCGCACACCGTGCAAGGTGTGATACATCCATTCTGAAAGTAAAAAACTTGACAATCCATCTTTATTTTTTTTTTTTTAGACGAGATAGAATGGCCTGAAAATGAAGACTGGCCTGTACAAGGAGAAGCTAAAGATCTCATAATTTCACTCTTACAGCATTCTCCAAGAGACAGACTTGGTACCGGCGGCGCACACGAAATTAAAGATCATGTTTATTTTCATGGAATAGACTGGAATTCGTTACTTAGAAAAAAGGCTGAATTTATACCTCAACTCGAACACGATGAAGACACTAGTTATTTCGATAGTATGTTAACATTAATTAGATCTAAATTTGACGTCCGAATTTTAATTTTATGATTCTTTAATTTATTTTTAGGTAGAATAGATCGTTATACTCACGAATTAGAAGATGATACTGATGATACGGACGATTCTCCCGTTTTTGGATTATTTTCTTCATGTTCTCCTCAATACAAAAAAGTATCTGAAATGAGTTCACTTAGTACAGATACGGATCCTGACAATCATAGTACTTTATCTCTAAAAACTAGTGCCTCTGACATGTCAGTACCAGGAACTCCCGACACAATTGAGTTCAAACCTCGAGCGAGATTGCCAGATTATTTGACACCACGTACCATTGAAAAAAGAAAACCTGAAAATAAACTGGTAATATTATATAAGTGGACTTTAAACCACACTCTAATTCAGGTAGAGTAATTTTTTTTAAACATTTTTTTTTTTAGATTTCTCTTGATTTATCATCCTGCACAATAACTACCCCCGAATCTTCTCAAACAGACAGTGACGATGTTTCACCTCAAATAAATAGAAGAAAGAAGACTGCTCATACTAGAGACTTCCTGCCCAAGTTCTCTATATCTGTTGAAGATGAACATTGTGCTGGAACTTTAGCCGAAAATAGGGAATTCCCCTCTTTGAGTCAAATAAAAGCTGGGCTAATTGGGCATTCATCAAGATCTGTTGTTAGAAGCGCCAGTACTTCTGGACTCTCACTTATGATTCCAACTGGTTAGAAATTTTTAAATAAAGAAAATTCTTTATCTGATTTTATTACATTTTCAGATGATATAACAACTACTCACATAATCCATTCTCCAGGAGCAGGCGGAGGGTCTAGTACTGCTAGTTCACGAGATACTTCACCTTGCAGAGAATTATCTCCCCTAGGAACCACGCTGAAACCACCTATAATAATCCGTAGAGGTCCTAAAGGATTTGGTTTCACTGTTCACACTATCCGTGTATACTATGGTGATACAGATGTCTACACAATGCATCATTTAGTAATGGCTGTAGACGAAGGAAGTCCTGCCTTTGAAGCTGGACTCCGACCAGCGGATTTGATAACCCATATTAACGGCGAAACTGTCCAAGGTCTCTATCATACTCAAGTCCTACAATTACTACTTGGCGGAGCAGAACACGTTAGCTTAAGAGCAACACCCTTGGAACAAACTTCAATCAAGACTGGTGGACGGAAAAGAGAACCTGGACAAAGCAAGTTAGCCAGACGTAGCCTAAACAGACAAAAGAAACAGAAAAAGGAGAGTGACAAAAGAAGAAAAACGTCACTTTTTAAGAGAATCAGCAGCAAGAGAGCTAGCGTTGAAATGCAACAGGTCAAGGTAATTTCGTATGTTTTTTTCATATGAATGAAACCCATGGTCACAATTTTATTTTATTTTAGATCTCTAGTAGCAGCCTTCAATCTCCTGTTGGTGTAACTCCCTCTAGAAGCTTCCAATCGTTCACTAAAAGTGGAGATAGTACTTTCAACTCGCCTTCAGTCCGTTCTGTCCCCACACGGTCAAACTTGTCAACTCCAGAATCGTTCTCGCTTACAACAACTGCATTTTCAACTCAATCTTCATCTTCGGAAAGTCCTTCTCCTACTACCGTTCCCACAAATCGAAACAGCAAACAGCACTATCAAAGGCCTTCGACTTTACATGGCCTAAAACACAAACTCCATACTACAGGGTGTCCGAAAGCTTTACATGCAGCAGGTCCAGTTTGTTCACCTGCTGTACAAAGTAGAAGAAAGTCTGTAGGACATATTCCTCTTTCTCCATTAGCTAGGACCCCTTCGCCTTCTCCGTTACCTGCTTCCCCTACCAGATCTCCTAGTCCTTTAGCGTTTCCCATTGGCCACCAGCCTGGAAGTTCCAACACCACTCAGTCCTACAGTCCAAGCGCGGGCTCAGCGCCGATCACAATCATAGGACAGCCTAAGAAAGGTTTCCCTAGAGCTAAAGGAGGAGAACCTGGATCTCCTCTGCTGAGAAGAGCTTTATCTCCTGACAGACTACATCCGAGAAGTGCCGAAAGCAAATGTTCAATTTCGCCACTTTGCTCCTCGGGCAGCACCTGTAGTACCAACGTTAAATGTCAAAGTAGGGTGGTAGGGAGTTCTTCTGTTTGGCATCCTAATACTCAACACGATAGAGATAAGGAGAGCGATTTGGACAGCTCACAATCTAGTGATTCAAGTGAGTTTTTTTTTCTAAAGTTTGCTTTAATTTTATTCTAATGAATGATGTTTTCAGGTTTAAATTCGTCCACAGCATCTGAAAATCGTCTATCTCTAAACTTATCAGGAGTAGGTGAGCTTTTACCTAGGATAGCAGAAGAAAAAGACTCGCCAACAAATGTACAAGAAGTAAAACTGAAGAAAACTGCAAAAGATGAAAAAATATATGTCTCAGAGGAGAAAACCAGTGCTAAAGATCAATCTAAGGGAGAAACATCAAATGTTAAAGACCAGCCAAAAGAAGGTAGTGAAAAAACTGAAAAGAAACTTATCACTAAACAATCACCGAAGGGAGAAAAAAAATCTACCATAACTGTTGATGACAGGTTAAAGGATGAAGGAAAAAAGAAAGATGAAGAGAAAAACCTGCAAAAAATTGATAAAAGTATTAAATGTGAAGAAAATCAAAATAAAATTAATAAAGATAAGAAGACCAAAGTTGAAGAGAGTGATAAAGATAAAGAAAAGAAGACCAAAGTAGAAGAACCGCAAAGCAAAATTGACAAAGACAAGGAAAAGAAAGCGAAAGTAGACGAAATACAAAGCAAAGATAGGAACAAGGCTGATGAAAGTAAAATGAAAGAAGACAAGAAAACAAGAGTCGAGGAAAATAAAAATAAAGAGAAAGAAAAAAAATGTAAAACAGATGATTATAAGATAAAAGCGCAAAAAGAAAAACCAGGTAAATGTGATGATAAATCTCCAGAAAAAGACAAAAAAATGGTTAAAGCTGAAGAAAGTCAATCCAAAGGAGGAGAGAAGGATGGAAAAAAAGGAAATCGAATGGAAGAGAAAGCAGAATCTTCTCAGTTAAAGTCTGACAAAAAAGACAAAAATATGAAATAAGTGGTATAGAATTTAGTGGTACACGTCCACAGTCTTTTATTCTCCATGTATACAGCATTAGAGGTGACTAGAAAGTGTAACGAAAATTTATTTATTCCATTACAATTTGTTGGTTATTAATTGCTCAATCATAGATTATTGTCTTTGATGAAAATATTATTGGAACTAGTCATTGTCAAATACTATTTTAAAGGGAATGGTTATCTTTAAGGGGATTTTTGTACAGTACCAATTTTTTTTATTATTCAAAAACATCGTCAAAAAATATCGCTATATACACTATATATTTTGAAATCGATCAAAATTAGTAGTTCCTAAAATCAGTAGGTGTTTTCAAATTTGTAACATTCCTTGGAGTGTTCTATTTCCTTTACTTCGCAGGTGCGTGTTAATTTTATAGGATAAAACGTCCATTTAGAGAAAAATATTTTTATTTATAACGAACATAACTAACTCTAGTATTCAATAAGCTGTTAACTTTGCGAGTTACTGGTTTTTCTTTATTTTCATTTCAAATGCAAGATAAGTCGATTTAACTTACATTCAACCTACTTTAATACGTTAACTGCCAAAGCTGCTAAAAAAAAGCTTTAGCCAAAGTATTAAACTTTTATTTATGGTCAAATACCTTTGAAATGTATAAACCCTGCTTTTCAGTACATTAGGAGTTTTACAATAGCTATTAAACAGTTTGATGTGTGTTAGTGGAGTTAAGTGTGTGTAAAAGTCTAAAAGAAGTATCGGTCAAAATTCCTATATATTTAGTCCTTAGGAGTTGTTGGCACGATATCACAAAGGCTATCGTCAAATAATTGTATGAAATTTTTACCTTTAATTTTAATTTTTTGCGATTTCCGTGCATAATAGGAAAATTAATATAAAGTTAATTTTTTTCTTCTTGAAAATAAAACTAAAGTTCTAGTTCTTATTTACAATAGGCATATTAATATAAAACAATTTAGTTCATGGTATATCTTACTGTTATCTACAAGTCACTCTGAATATTCTAAAAATAGGTTACATTTTTAGTCAATTGTCAATTCTATTTCACTTACAACCAATTTTGTCCTGTAATTGATATTATTGATAATGGAATCTCCTCTTTTGTTTTACGAATATTTTTCATATCCTTTATAGGATACTTTTAAAATATATTAATATTACTGTCTAACCTATACAAGTTTGATTGAATTTAGTAAATTTTTACTTGATTTGTTTGTTTGTATATTAAGTATTTTTTTGTCACATTTAAAGTATATAATGAAAGACAAATTCACTTTGTTTTAATGGAAATGAAGTTATGCGAATATTCATGAATCAGTATTTTTCATATTTCAAGTTATCATATTCCTGTTCATTTTGAATTTAATATTTTTAGTTAGAAGTATTTTGTTTATTTTTATATTGCTATATTTTATTAAATAGTTCTTATTCCTAATATCTTTGTAACTTTTTAGTTTATATTTTGCTAAAACTATTTTTTAATAACTTTTATTGGTATTTAACTAGTAGAACTATATTTTAGATAATTTGAATTGTGAAAATTACATGGAAAATATTTTTTTACGATTCTAAAAACATAAATTATTTATAGCCAAATTTTGATTTTCTACAAGAAATTAGTAATAATTTTTGGAAGCTGTGATGTGTTTAATATTATAGTTATTATTTTTTAATTAATTTCGTATATGTGATAATTTTATCTAATTTTTATTTCACCCTCCGATTTTTTGACATATTTGCTCTAAAGGATAACGAACATTTTTAAAGTAAATAAATTTTTTACTTGGAATATTTTTTATAAAATGACATTCCTTATATTTAATATACAGGGTCTACGAATAAAGTGATGATGAAAATTTTATTATAGATTTTTTTAAAAACTCATTTTTCAAATTTAATTTAATTACTTATTTTTTCACTGTTTACACACCCTGTATATAAAATTTGCTTTAAGATTTTCTAATAATGTTAAAATAAGTTTAAAAATTGTGATACATGACTGAATTAAAATATCTTGAAAATAAGGTGTTACTAAACTCATTTTGTTGTTAGTATATAAATATACTTTCATCCTTTCACAAAAATATGTTTTTGTATATTATTTTTTGTACTTTTGCCGTAGTTAAAAATAATTAAAATTTAAATAATTCTAAAATAGACTTCATTTTGAAAAGTGCAATGTAAAGTGCAATCATTGGCAAGTTTTGATCAAATATCTTGTAAATGTACGTTGTCCTTTTCTAATAAATATGAAAGCCATTTAATGAAAAATATATGTGGAATTTTATACATAGTATACTTGGTGTCGGATATAGTCGATGTAGTGCATAATTTATATACACTTTTTGGTCACCTGGTATATATTTTTTAAATTAATTGTTGATTTGTCATTTATTTTTTGAGACTTACTGGAATGTAAATTTTTGTGTACTCAAATGATAAATGTTTATGTATATAAAAAATAAATTTGTTAATGTGATTCTTCTGGAAGAAGTGTATTGTCACTGTTCATAATATACTCCACTTAAGTATACATGATATTTTTTTTTAAATAGAACTACTATTAAGCTAGTATTATAGTAACTTAGCCTAAATGCCCAACCTTTAAGCAGAATGCCATTTTAGGATTACTTGATTTCTTCTATAGGGAATGGTCAACACTATAGATTTATTGTAGGCCTTTGACAGCATTTCCCATAACTCGCTTCTGCTAAAATTTAACATTGGTACATCAGACAACTTTGAATTTGTTCAAGATTGGCTTAAGTGATTTTTATCAAATTCTATTTTAACAAATCTCATTGTCTTCTGAAGTTTCAGCCTTGCCAGGTGTCCTTCAATTGTACCATTATCAACTTTTTTTAGATCTCTAAATGCACAAAAACATTTAATGATCGATTTAGAGTGGCTGTTTTATCAATCTATGAAGATTTAAAGTACCATATATAGTACTCCATAGTCTTATTTATACTGATCATTTATGAGTATTTTAGTATAATGGTGTATCTTTTGGTGACCTTACTATATTTGCCATAATAGCAAAAAATCGAAAGAGTTCAAAGGATATTTGCGAAATACATAGTCTCTTTAATTGATTAATCATGTAATTATCATTTTTTTTTCTGGATGTGTCAACAGAAATTACATTTCTGCTAATACCTACGTTTTTTTTATTTCAAAGCATCAATTTTAGACCATACAGTTTTTTTATAAATCCAAAAATGGACTGATATTAGTGTTCCATTTAAAAATAATATCGAATATCAAAAATGAGAAAGGGTATGCTAGATTACGTCCGCGTAAAATATCTCCTTTCAGTTCCCTATTTAGTGTTCATAAAAGGAAAATATATCTGCGAATTTTCCCAGTTTGTTCGATGTGTATTACTACATACGAGGGTACATTTTAAGTAGCGAATCTAGTCAATAATGGAACCGTTTTAAGCAATTTTAAAAAAAATATCGAATTTATTCCGTAATTTAGGAATTACAATATTTTTGTTTCAAACATCGAGCCGGTCCTGCACAGGAAGAATAAATTTGATGGTCAATGATATATAGTTATATGGATTGCTCAAAGCTAGTCGTACAGCGGGCGACCATATTAGCTTCTCAAGAGCTCAAACAAATTTCAGCCTTTGAATATAGTACAAAAATAATTACCTTAATTTTTACTTTAGGGCACGATAGTTAGGTATTTTGAAAACATTTTTATTGTTTTTTAAAGTGGTCAAATTGGACGTTCTAATTTTATAATAACAGTTTTAATTAACATATATAAACTATTAGTTATAAAATTATATTTACTATCTAACATGTGGAGGCTAGGTTACCGTACGGAACTTAGGCCTCAGTATGCCCATTGTGCATCCTCCAGAATGCCTGCGATCAGGCGTAGCTTCTGTTAAGTCATAGTCAATAAGTATTTTCGTTTGCTGTAGAGTTGTCAGGTTAACTTAACAGCCCCTATAGCAAATCTGCAGTTTTTTGTATCATCCCATTTTTCCTTGAATTTCACAAGGGAATTCTTTAATTAGATCTGTCACTACCCATGTTGGCTAGTGATTACCTTTCGATGTTCCGAGACCTTTGATCCATCTTAAGGTGACCACATTATTGATGCATACTTCGTGACATTCTAGTACTAACCCTGAGTAAATTCATAGTCTGTTCAGGGTGAGTAGTGCTTGTCTGCAGTCTTTATAGATGAGCATGTTCCTGCCAGTGATATTGTTTTTGGTGATTTTTTTGCTGCCATGAGAATCCTCGTGAGCTCGGTTTGAACTATATATATGCCACGTTTGAATATCCACATCGGATGCATCTGAGATGTGATTTTTTTTTATCACGTGATAGAGGAGGATTAGATCTGAATGTAGATGTAATAAACTAACGCTTGCCGCGTTTGAGAATCCACATCGGATGCATCTGAGATGTAGTAAATCTTTGATCACGTGATTCAGTATACGTAAATGTAATGGGACAGATGTGTCCGATGTAGATAAAAAAACGCTCGAGATGTAAAAAATGAATCCGATGTGGATTCTCAAACGCGGCAGCTCTAGACTTTATTGGTCACGTGATAAAATGACAAGTAAGAAGTTTATATTCTTTAAATTTGACTTTTGAGACTGGAAATCAACCTAAATTTATATTCTAAACAAAAATTAAACACACCAATCAATTTTATATTCACGCTAGCATAAATAAAAGATAAATCAATAATCTTGGCTTCACAGAACACCTACTTTCTGGCATGGAACGAACATCTCATTCACACTTCATTTCAAATCGAGGTGTAAAAAAATGTAATCAGGACAGGGATTCTTATGTGCGTAACGAATCAAATATAGAGAGACATTACATACAAATCGCATTCTGTGGAACGAAGATAGAAGCTTCTCAACACGTGCCGAATTGAAAGATGCGATAATCCCACTGCTGGACAGCTACATCTGGGATAAACAAACGCAGATGTAGATGTGGCTAAACAAACGCTCGAGATGGAAAATATGCATCCAATGTGGATATTCAAACGCGGCATTACTATTTATAAAATGTACATTCAAATCTGTATAAATTTTAATGAGTAGAAAACATAATTTTTAAACCGGTTCTGTAAATAATTTACAAATGGATGAGCAATCTATACAATTATACACATTGATTTAATTTGACAAGGCGTCAAATATGGATTTCCCTGAACGTGTTTATATCTCTTTCTAATACGTAAGATAAAGAGAAATATAGCATCTGTTTTTAAAATTATAAAAATAAATTAAATTTCTAAAAATGTTATTAGATGTGTGTAAAATGTGTTTTTTGTGTTATTAAGAATTTAAGGATTACGATTGTCTAGATGCGGTGTAAACACAATTATTGAAAGTTTCTTAAAAAATCGTTACATTTAAATTTGAAGGTTGGCAGAACTTGGTCGCCATTTCGATATCAATAAAGTTTATAAACCTACGTCGTTTGTTATGATTGAAGTTGTAAAATATTTCCAAATAGTTTCATTTCATTAAAAATAAAAATAAAGCAATATGCATTTTTCAATCATGGTATGAAATTCAGTATTAGTCATGTTGAATTGGTGAGTAAATTAATTGATTAGTAAATAACTGTCATGAAAATTGTAACAGTTTTTAATTTTTGAATACATTGTTATATTTTGTATTGAAAACTTAATCAGTAATCGGTGATATTGCCTTTTAAATAACTTTAAATGTTAATGTAACATAATGTGAAAAATATTATTTTCCCGGAAAAAGACGCAGTAAAATAATATTGTTAATTACGCCTACACTACACCTACTGTATTTTAAATCAAATAATGAGTAAAACATTATTTAAGGTAAGACTTAATGCCTAGTTTATTAATGTACATGATTCTGTTTGTAGCTCGCCAATTAAGAGGAAACGGCGTACTGTAATCAATAAGATGGAGATATTTGAAAATGTTTTATTAAATGCTTCAGAATTTATAACAGGTAAGCCCAATTTTTAGTCAGTTCATCCTGATATTAAATTTATCCCACACATAGACTCCATGCTTAATACTTAGTGGGTTTATTCTTTATTCATATTTGTTTACCTAGTAAAAGTATTTTATATAATTTTCAGGTCGGTTATATTTTGTATCTCTGAATACTCTAGTAGAGCCTAAGTCGACTCCTTCAGTACATTACTTTAGTATAGATTGTGAATTAACATATGACAGCTTCTACTTAGATTTTGGACCACTTAATCTGGCTATGCTGTATCACTACTGTGTTAAATTGAGGCGGAAACTTAACAATACTACATTCCAAAATAAAAAAATTGTCCACTACACTGATGCTGATGGTGAACAAAGAGTTAATGCTGCATTCCTAATAGGGGCTTATTCAGTAAGAAACTTATGTTCTATCTTACTTATACTAGACATTTTTATCTTATTAATTTTTTAAATTAAATCCTTAAACTGGTTTAAATCTTTTGCTAAATGTTTTAGATCTTTGGAATATTTTAAAACAATAAAAATTGTGATAGGAAGTTTATTGTTTAGAATGCTTTTGATTAAAAACATTGATTTATTGATAAATACATTCTTTTGAAGTCTTATTTAATAATTACATACATTCATTGCATAAATTAAACAATAATTATTTATACATTTGAATTATGGGTAATATTTATGTTTATCAGTATAAAAATAATCAAAATATAGAGATAACAACTAATTATACAGGTTGTGGATACCTACTAGTAGAATGGCCCTTGTCATTTTTTTTTGCTGCAATTGTTTTTTAAAATTTGATAAAGAAACTTGTAACAATTTTAGATATAAGTACACAAAGCTTTCTCAAAAATTATTTTGTTTTAAAATAAAATTTGTGGTATTGCAAGTTGCGAATATTTTTGTATTTGTCATTTTTTTAAAAATTCAATACTTTTCAGATAATATACTTAAATTTCACACCAGAAAAAGCTTATGAAGTCTTAAACCATGACTCAACCAAAGAGTACTTAAAGTTTAGAGATGCTTCCATTGGTGAGCCCTATACATTAAGTTTACTAGACTGTCTAAAAGCCATAAAGAAAGCCTTAGATTGTGGATTCTTCAACTTCGAAAATTTTGATTTTTTGGAATATGAACATTATGAAAAAGTTGAAAATGGAGACTTTAACTGGATAGTTCCTAACAAGTTTATTGCTTTCTGTGGACCCCAAGACAAATCAGTTTCTAGTTTAGGATACTTAAATCATCGGCCTGAAAGTTATTTTGCTTATTTCAGAAGACATAAAGTGTCCACTATTGTTAGGTTGAACAAAAAGGCCTACGATTCCAATAGGTTTGTACAAGCAGGGTTTGATCACAAAGACTTATATTTTGTTGATGGAGGCACCCCCAGTGATAGAATTCTCCAACATTTCATAAGCATTTGTGAACATTCTAAAGGAGCTGTTGCTGTCCACTGCAAAGGTATGTCAATTTTAATTTATTACAATATACAAGTCCTTTATTTAGCAACTTGCTAATACATTTTGTGTTATTTATTTTCTGTTTTTGTTCTTCTAGAATTCCAAAACTTCCTAATTACTTAATTAGTAAATATATATTAACAGTTTCAAATGCTCTCTGTAGGTCTAAGAAAAGCACTCCAGTAGGGTCAATATGGGTAATTGGAAACAGGGGCAATTGAAAACACCTCCAATAAATCACTTAAAAATACACTTGGCAGCAGTGCATTGTAAGCGATAGATTCTCAAGGGTCCTGTGGGAATCACGCCATTTTCCCTTGCACTCCAGAACTGTTTGGTTACAAGCTGTTGGTGAAGCAATTTTTTTATGTTTTTAATCCTGACTGTTGGTTTTAATAGTGTTTAAAAAATTGAAAATTTTGGTGACATATTTTAGGTAAATTTTTTATCCATTCTAGACAGGCTATTTATAAGAGATTAATCCATCTGTAAATATTACTTTTGAGGTTATTTAACCTATTACGGTTTTTTGGGCTGTGTTTACATTTACCCTGAATAAACCTCAATAGCTGGTAAATGAAAACACCAGCTGGGGTAAATGAGAAAACCACAGAAATGGCTGATCTCTTCCTTCTTTTCTAGATCTATGCTATGTCGTATCTAATAGAATATGCCAAATAACTATGTTAAAAAGCAGGACCCACCCTTCTATACTTTAGATGATTTGGCCAGTGCTGTTAATGATGTTATAGAGAATAAAAAAACTTATAGGGTTGCTAGCGATTTTTACGGTATTCCAGTATCTGTTATTTTTAATAGGATTAATAGAAAAGTACCAATTGATAAAATGGGGGCTGGTGTTTCCCCAACAGTGCCTATGAAGGTTGAAAATCACATTGTTTTTTGCTTAAAAACATGAGCAAAAATGGGTTATCCCCATAATAAGTCCTTTATTTCATTTGCATGAAAAGTTACATGTATCTAATTACCCCCTGAAAACCGGTTTTTTCTTAAAAATCCTGGGGTAAAAGAGAACGAGCAATATTAAGGAAAAAACAACTAATATGTCAGTTAATCATATAAAAATATGTTGCTTAAGGTATAACTTCGCAGCTATGCCATGTATTTTGTGCTAAAAAACAGTTATTTGTTTTAAATTCGTATTTAATTAGCCAAAAACGTGAACTTTAAAAAATCATTTCCAATTACCCACATTAATCCTACAAGTTTTTTTTTAGTCTGTTTTCCAATCATCAATGAAACGCTGAATAACAGTCTCATGGCTATGTTTTGCTCTAAAACCTGAATGAACACTTAATCAAAATGCTTCCTTCTATAAAATTAATTAGTTGACTACACTACTTTCTTGATTTTTTCAATTGAAGATAAGTTTACTTATCTTAGATCAGAAGCATTCATAAAGTTGTTAATTTTTGGAAATAATATTGTTGAAATTTTCAAATCATCTGGAAATACATTAGTTTCTATTGTAAATATATCAGATTTAATAGAGACAGGAATATTATTGTAACATTTTTTAAAAAGGTTATATTTATTTCATCTAAACTTCCCTTGTCAGGCTTTGAACGAACATTTTTTCCAGCTCATTGTATGTGATTATCTTAAATTTTCTTGAAAAAAATATTTTTATTTCAAGGCATTCACGTGTGATGATTTGAAGTATGATTTATATTGTTAATAATGTTACTTAAACCATTCACAAAATAACTATTTAAAGCATTCACTTCTCATAAACATCCTTAAATATTGTCTTTTCATTTATTTCTATTTCTGCAAAGGTATAAGTGGTTTGTGGTACAAGTTATTTCAATACTTTCCACAATTTTTCTGTTATGTTATTTTTGTGTTCTACAGTTTTAGTTTGATAATAGCTATTTTTTTTTTCTAACAGCTACTTTTCATTTTTTATAGTTTTCTTGTAAAATCGTTTATATAGTCAATACATCTTCACATTTAAAATACAATAAAATACATAAGATACAGTATACTTACATGTCAACTATACAAAATATAATAAAAGGTCAATACAGAAAAAAAAAACGTCAATTGGTCAGCAAGTACTCGCGCAGTTTTTTTTTAAATATTGCTGCGTTTGAAGAACATTTAATATCTTCAGACAAAATATTAAATTAAATACTAGCAAAAAAACAGTAAAACTTATATAAAAAATTTCAGTAGCAAAGTGGAAATTAAATCAAAGAAATAAATGGATAGGTGTACAATAAGAAAAAAAATTACCGTTATTTTTGTAATAATAACAGTAATGCTGGAAATAGTAGACATCAGAAACTTGAAGGGTTTTAAATAAACAATAAATTATCATTTTACGATGTTCGTTAATATCCCTTTATTCTTAAATGTTCATTCAGTCAGGACTAGATTTCAAGATTTCTGCCTTTGATTATCATATGTGGTTGGAATGCAATTTTGTAACTTACTGATGGGAAACCAGTTTTAATCATTCATTCTATGTTTTCTTTGGAACAAAAATGAAAATATAAATAACGTTCCATTTATTATACATTTTAACTTCACGCTATTATTTAATGGTATTTTTTTTTATTTTGACAGAATAGGCTAATTCTTCAATGACAACTTATTAGACTTAGGCAACTTCTTATACATTTTCCAGTAAATACTGTTGCCTGCCTATATTTTTTTATTGATTTTTATCGATTATACATCATTTTCTTCAATTTAAGCGATAAAAATATATAATAATAATAAATTAATGTTTTTCTTGTTTTACAAATCCATATACTTTTATTAAAACTAACATATACTTTTTAATTACGAATTCTATTAAAAATTGTATTTGTCAGTATACTCAGAAATAGTCCATTAGTACCAAAACGAATTGGCGCTGCTGTCGCGCACGGAGCGAATAAAACTGCTGCTTGGGGATTCATATAAGTTTACAATTACAAATATAGAGTTATGATGAAAACACTTTATCATTATTAACCAATAATGTTTATGTAAAACAAACTTTTCTCAAGAGAGACCTTTTATATTTTGCTATTACCAATGCATGAATTTCATGAAAGTGAAAGGGTAGACTTTGTGCATTAAGTGTCAAAACAAAACTTAAAATTTACGATATTGGCGTTTCGTGGGTTTCACTGACAAAATGTATAACAGTACTGTCCCCTAAATTCAAGTCATTTGTTGTATCTATAATATCTTTTTTTATGTTCTTATTATTAGATATTTTAGTATCTGTAACATGAATATTAAAAGATACCCAACTTTTATGCAAACGTATATTTCTTTGTTTTTAGCTGGTTTGGGACGCACTGGTTCTCTAATCGGATGTTACATAATGAAACACTATAAATTTACGGCAGAAGAAGCTATAGCTTGGATTAGAATTTGCCGTCCAGGATCAATCATTGGTCACCAACAAAGCTGGCTTCAAGAGTAAGTATATTTTTATTTCACTGCCTTAATTCAGAGAAGGCAGGTATGAAATGTGTTTGAAAATAGTCTTAAATTAATGTAATTTTTTATTTTTAACAGAAAACAAAAGCAAATGTGGGATGCTGGTGAAATCTATAGGAAAAAACATGATATATCAGCGCCTATAAAGCATCAAAATGGCATATACAGTTTGTCTGAAGTTAAAAAAGATAAAAACAAAGACAATGTCACAGGAATTGTTAAAAAAGTTGATTGCATGGAAATTAATGATACTGAGGAAGATTGTGCTGAAAATAGAATTACACAGGGCGATAAACTCAACCAAATTAAAGCACAAAGATCTCGGACAAAACCACTTGTCACTACACAGTATGTATTACATATATGTATAAATTAATTGTATTAGTTTTATTTTTTCTTATTAAAATATTTTCCTTATCTTTCTACCATTGAAACTTGCATGTTTATACATCAATTCTACAACGATACAGTACACTATTTAATTATTCATTGCATACATGTAATATATTGTTAACTGGTCAACTGTTTTTATATATAAATCGTTTATTTAGTGAAAATAACTAATTTTACATAGCAATACATTCTTTACATTTAAAATGATAAAGTCAACTTTACAATGCCTGAAGTGCATTAATAACTTCAGGCAAATTATTAAAAGCCTGTACAAAAAACTGAATTTTGTGTACAGTTTTTCATGGCCTTATGAACTCAAAAATGTTACTTGTTTCCTTTATTGCAAATACAATATTATCTTACAATATTTAAAATGAGGCATTACAAGAATATTATAAATTACTATTTTAGCCCATTTGTTGAGATGTGGAGATTAGCACCTCATGTGTTTTTTATGATGTTATTAGCATGCTCCTTAAATTGTAAATTTGTATCGACCATAACTCTTAGCTATTTAATTTATTTGACTCTGAAGCTTACTCCAACAAAAATACTCTGAGATGCTACATTTAATTTTCTTAAATTTCTACTACCTCCAATTATCATCCATTTTGTTCTTTCATAATTTATTTTAATTATAGAACTATTAATTTCATTGATTTCATGGGTAGAATAGATCAGAGTATCATCTGCAAATAAGTGTATTGAGCATTTTTCGACTACACTAGCAATGTCATTAATATAAATTAAAAACAGTAGTGGACCCAGAACATTACCCTGTGGCACACCCATATTATTCTCTATATTATCCAAAAAAACTTCTGTTTTTTTAGACCAGTCACTTTAATGGATTGTAAAACCCATTTTTTTAAGAAGTTATTTTACTTATTTTATTTTTAACAGGACAGAGCGTGTTAGGAGGGTGACTGTTTCAACTACTCCTACATCACAGACTGTTTTAAGAACTGGAAAAGTTATATCTAGTGTTCCGACGAAAACAACTGGCTCTGCGAGTAGTCGTGTGGTGTCTAAAAGGTTGGTTGTAAACAACAAGTAAATTTTGAAATGCTTCACAGATTTATGTAAAAAGCATGGCTTTACAAATTTTGTACTATTTGGTTCCCTGTGCATGGTATTTCTAAGGTTTTATTTTTTTAATTATTTTATTTTTGTGTATTGTTTTTAGATTAGGCATATTTTTTGCCTATGTTGTTAATGTAGTTCTTAATTATTTTAGAAATGCGGATAGTCCGATTTTTTACTTCTGGGTTTTTTATATCAACAAAAATTTGAGTAAAAAACTAAATAAGATTTTAAACATTTATCAATTACTACTTATTTTTAATTTATATGATAATTCAAATATGAGGCAAAAATTATGTTTTAAGAATAATTATTTTTATATTTGAATAAAAAATAAATTTTTAGGGGCGTTATTCGCCAGTATATTTAAAAAAAATGTGTATTTACAGAGAGCTTTTTTTACTATGTTTTGAAACGAAAAATAAGAAATAGATTTTAATAGTACAAGTAAATTAGGTTTTTTTGAATGAATAAAAGTTTTAAAAATGTAGGTGCGGGCTCCTAATACGGACCTAAAGATTTTCCACCTGTTCGAAGGGAGCTTCATCCCCTTTTCCTTCAAAACCCACTTTTAAACATGACCTGACATCAGTGACTTATTTTTGTCTTCACTTTATTATTCTCAAGCTTAAATGACATTTGGTAGATTTAGGCTGGAGATAGGCAAAAAGGTTATAGGACATAAAAAAATGTAGAATTTTAATATTATACGAGAAGGTTGAGATGGCAAGTCAGAATTAGATGCGCACTGGCAAATCGGATCGAAATTTGCCTTTAGATATGTTTATCGTCATGTTTAAATAATAAATATATAACGGCAATATCACACGTCAGGAGGTGTGGCTACTTCACTCACTGCAGGCTGCTCTATTTTTGTTTATACATGATTTTTCTAAAATGGACCGTAATGGAAAAGTGCTAAATTTAAATTTTCAGTATTTTCGTTTTCAATGAATATCTATAGAAAATTTTTTCGAGGTAGATGTATGTGGACAATGTATATATTTAGTTTATCCTCTAAACATTTATAGAGATGCTGCAATAGGTTGTACAAAATAACCGGAAAAAGCCTATAATAACTAGATAGGAAAGTCATGTGTTGGACACATCAGATTTTTATGTTCTGCACATTTCACTTGCCATCTCAAATTTGTCGTTTGTACTGTAAGAACATTGTAGATCTCTAAAGTTTTCTCGAAGTAGCGACGGTTTGGAAAAAATGAAGAAAACTGGCTCCGGTTCATGTAATGGTGTTTTTGAAGCAAAAATGGATGAAGCTCCCTCCGAACAGGTGGGGACTCTTTAGATTTGTCTTTATACCTCTATTAGGAGTTTGCACCTACATTTAAAAAAAAAATCTAAATGATTTCGATTTGGCTATTTTATCTCTAATTTTCGCCGTCTATAACGCATATTTGGACTTGGTTAACGTTTTGAGACAATTTTGTAGATAGCATAATTACTTTTAGTGAGCTGATCCATTGATACAACGTACATATATATCATATTAAAAAATTAAACATTTTTTAGTTTATATTATTATTTTTCGAACTAAACTTTACAATTGATTTATTGAGTATTAACGAAATATATAATTTTAAGAAGTGTACTTTGGTCCTAGTAGGTGATTTTTTTTAATAATTAATTAGCAATTTGCATTTAAATTGTCAAAATATTGCATTACTAAATAGATACTGTACAATAATATTGAATTTTTGCTTAAAAGAAATCAGGTACGTATACAGATAAAAATATTAATTTTATTTGGTGCTAAATTAATTTTTTAATCCGAAAATACAAGGTGATTGCCACCATACCATTAAAAAATCGAGACTGGAGGTATGGTGACAATCATCTTGTATTTTTGAACTTATTTACCATCCATTTGAGAGCGACCTTGGTCATGTACTTTAATTTTTTAATCTTCGTTTTTTTTTCCATTTTTCACTAGGTAATCATAATTTATTTAGTTAACATTTCATATTCCACTTGGTTTTTCTATCTTTCACATCTTACAACATTTCTGATATCTATGTCCAAATTTAAATACCGTATTAAGGATTAGATGATAATATGAGCTCCATGGGCTATTAAGGTATCTTTCTATGTGTCCTACCCATTTTTCTTTGTGATTTGATAAACAGTTTTTACTGGAACTATACAGTGTGTTTCATAAGGAATGGTAAATACTTTAACCATGTTTTCAGGAATTCAAAATATTATTTTGTGAAATGTTATCTACTTCTAATATACAGGGTATTTAAATTTATTTTTCGTTTTTTGCAATATTTTCGTTATTATTTAACATATTGACCTGAAATTTGGTATGGTTATATTTTTGGGCTAGTAAATCATAAGCATGTTATTGAGTTTGCTATTAGACAAAGAGGGCGCCACCTACACTCTACTGGATGAAAAAAAAAACTTAATTTAAACAAAAAACGTATAATTTTCACTAGTAATACCACTAGAGGTCAAAAAATTTCCTGATATTAATTTGACCTCGCGTGGTATTCGGTAAGAAAATTCCACGCCGAATTATGGTTGAAAATTAAATATTTTCAAAATTTATTTTTCGTTTCTCAACAATGCAAATTATTTTCTCCAAGTCACCAGTGAAACATAAAAGGTGTTGTCGCCTTGATTGTTGAGTTGTCATGGTAACTAAGTGAGACCCTAACCTCGAATATAATTTCAGTTTTGAAGTTGTCAAGCGGCCCGACGTAAAAAAATGTTTCGCTGCAATTATTTAGGCCTTCAAATTGCTTATTTCTACTCATTGTAGTTGCATGGGAATACCATTTGAAAATAGAAAATAGTATATTCTTTAATTTTACGTAAGTTTTGAATAACTACAAGTGGTAGAAAATTGTTTTTCTGCGTTTTTATTAACATGCGTTATGAGCGCTTTAAAATGGTATGAAATTCATAACCAGCGTCAGCAAGCATCAATCGTAGGAGGCTGTGATCATTGTATTTTGACAGTTCAAAACATTAAATAACTCGCGTTTTGTTGCGATAAAGAATATTGCACAGCAAGTAAAACTAACAAAATTACCTATTTGTTTAAAAATGAATCGATTTGAAAATCACACGCTATGCAAAATATGCGTGAAATTGTCTGATGTAATGATCAATCATTGCACCATGACTTACTTACTCGGATTAATAGAGGATTGTGGCTCCAACTTGAAAAACGAAAATTTGTTCCGAATTGTCCACGAATATTTGCACCTAAACTACGCAAAATTCAAAGTGCTGAATGGGAAAAAGGTGAATAAATTAGTGTCTAAATATTATATATATTTTATTAGACATAGACACATAATTCAAAGCATCCAAAGTCCTGCATTTTCGCCATTAAGAAGAAAAGAAGTGGCCGAAGAATATAGAAAACACCTTAGCATTGTAACTAAAATGTATCAAAACTAAACCTATTATGTGAACAAATAAAAACCAGTCTGTCAAAAATGGTCTGTTATTGTAAACGTCAAAAAATTTCCAGTATAATTCGCTGTTGGGTACCCCACGAGAAAAAAATTTCCACTAAAATACCTCCGTTGCCATGGTGATCTGTCAAAAACACGTATTTTGATTGGTTCAAAATTACAGGTGTGGAATTTTCATTTAAAATTTTCTTGCCACAGTATCTATTTAATTTACTTCAGAATATTTCAGTAAAGTAGACTTAAAAACAAATAAAAATGTAAATAATTAATTTTCCTACGACCACTTAGAAAAGTGGCACCTATCACACTATTTATTCTTATGGAAAGTGTCCTATATCACACGCATCTGGATAAATCTACTTTCTACCCGTGTGTGAATATGAATCTACTTTCCTCATAAGCTGTCAAATATGTCCGACGTCTAATTTCTATTTTGATTTTAATAGTAATATCAATTTGATGATTAAATTGTTAATATTAATTTTTAAATATAGGGCTTAGATATTTCTTTTTCACAAATTATTAAAAAAAAAAAAATTTAAAGTAACTAAGTACCTATATTATTTTCGATTTTTCGTTATTCGTATACATATTTAATTAGATAAGTCAAATGACAAAACCGTGATAGTGCAGATCATATAATGTCTCACTTTTTCAACTTGGCATCTTTTTTATTTATTTTTTATTTAAAAAAAATGAACATTGAAAAAATACGACTATTGTTGTTTATTTATTTAAAATACATGTTGTTTATCATAATATAAACCCTACAATATTCTTTTTGCTATTTATTTTGTACTATTTTAATTACTGTTCTAAAAAAAATTGTGAGTAGAGAAGTAGGTAATCATAATAATAGAAAAGTTTTTGTTCACGGTTGTTCAACTTATTTGTTAAAAAAAAAACTAATGAAAACATTGAATGTATTCCAATATTTTTTGTACCTAATGTTATTTTATCTTTATCATCCTATGAAATTGTTTATAAATGGAATTACAATACTCGTATTTTTAATTTTGACAAAACACTATTTGTAAAACGTTTTAAAAATTATTCAAAATGCCTTTATAGCCAGATTTCCTAGCTTTACATTTTTTTTATTTAAATGATTTTGTGGTCATTGTAAAAAATGTCATTTTCCACAGTCTTAATGTAATATACTATATACATTTTTTGTTCAAATATACTATACACCATATCATAAAGAAATTAGAAATGCCAAGAACAAAAAAAAATAGTTTTCTTCCCAGTAAATTGTAGCTGGTGCCCTCTTTGTCTAATCTCAAAATTAGTAACATGCATATAATTTACTAGCCCAAAAATATAACCATATCACATTTCAAGTCAATACGTTAAATAATATCGAAAATATATTTTAACTTCAACAGAAGTAGATAACAGTTGACCCCAGAGATAACTACTAACAAATATCGTGCGGTCCTGAATAAGACATATTCTAAGGGACACAGGAGGGTAAAATATCCGCTGTTGGCATATGCCTAT